GTAAGTAGTAGTAGTAGAGTAGTACGTAGTACTACCGGTAGTCGTTAGTAGTGTTGTAACTGTGTTGTGTGTGTGTGTGTGTGTGTGTGTGTGTGTGTGTGTGTGTGTGTGTGTGTGTGTGTGTGTGTGTGTGTGTGTGTGTGTGTGTGTGTGTGTGTGTGTGTGTGTGTGTGTGTGTGTGTGTGTGTGTGTGTGTGTGTGTGTGTGTGTGTGTGTGTTTTCCCCCCAACCACTTTCCATTGGTGATCTTTCTTGGACCAGAGATGCCATCTTTTCTGAAAACTCCGATGGATCTAACTATTCGCACTGGTGCCATGGCCAGATTAGAATGTGCTGCAGAGGGGCACCCTGCACCTCAGATTTCCTGGCAGAAAGATGGTGGTACTGATTTTCCTGCGGCTCGAGAAAGACGCATGCATGTCATGCCAGAGGACGATGTCTTCTTCATTGCAAACGTGAAAATAGAAGACATGGGAATCTATAGCTGCATGGCACAGAATATAGCGGGAGGCCTCTCTGCAAACGCCTCACTGACAGTGTTAGGTATGTTTACTGCTCCCTGGGCCCCCCACATTTGTGGGAGCCTTTCTATTATGGATCTACTTACTTCTGATCTTAATGGCAAGAAGAGTCTTAAGTTTGAGATTTCCCGTGTGATCCTTATGTCTTTGTCACCTTGTTTTGCCAATTTATGCAGAGTTATGTCAACTAGGATATTAGTGAATCAGTTAACTGAAATCTGGGGAAATGCTGAGGGCAGAATTAGAGACCTTTGTCACATGAATTGAAAATTCAAATCCCTTTATCCTGTTATATCTCCCTGTATAAGTTTTCTACTTCATGTGTATGTTTTCAATATTCAGGAGTGAGTATACAGCTTTATATTGCTTCTCATACTGCTTCTCAGAGAATTTAAGACAGTTTAACTACTTTCCCCCTAGTTCATTAAAAAAAATTCTTTTTAAGTTGAAAAAGAATGACTTTTCTGGTTAGATTTTTTGTTTTCCTCCCAGTGTGCTCCCATTAATCCTGTGCTCTGGTAAAATCTCCTTTCCATGAAGATTTCCCCTGACAAACCTATTTTTTTCTTAGGAGAAACTTGTCTTCATGGGAGCTCAATTCCTAGGCAAATTTTACTTTCTAGTTCACTATTCCACTAGACGTTAGGGTTTTTAAAATTTTGTTGCTTTGTGTAATTACTTGAGTAAATCAGAAAAATAAGTTTATTATTTAAAAATTTCAAGATATACAGAAAATAAAAACAGGAAAGTCTCTCAAATACTGTTAAAGACTTTGGAATATTCTAGACTTTTTTTAACACTCATTTTATGTGGTTATATATACCTACTTTTTTCCATTTAATACTATATTACAGGGTTACCTTGTCATTAAGTCTTATAAAATATATGGCTATACTGTAATTTGCTTAATCATTTTTTTGAGATTTTTAAAAAATGTTTCTTATTTTTAAAAATTGCAACTAAGTTTGTAATAAGCATCTTTGTATATACATTTTTGAATTCCTTGCTTAGGATAGCTTGCTCAAAGTGGAAATCCTGAGATAAGATTTAGATTTTTTGAGATATTTGCTTTTCTGGAACATTAACTTCTAATCCTCCCGGGAGTATAAGAAAGTGCTTATTTTATCATAACCTCATTAGTCCAATTTAGTAGGATTTTTGGAATAAAATTACCTAATATGGCTTTTTAATATGTCTTTCTATTAGAGACACCCTCATTTATTAGACCCCTGGAAGACAAGACAGTGACCCGAGGTGAAACTGCAGTGTTACAGTGCATAGCTGGAGGGAGTCCTGCCCCTCGCCTCAATTGGACCAAAGATGACGGACCACTGCTGGTGACAGAACGGCACTTCTTTGCTGCAGCCAACCAGCTTCTCATCATTGTAGATGCAGGGCTAGAAGATGCTGGGAAATACACCTGCATTATGTCCAACACTCTTGGGACAGAACGAGGTCACATTTACCTAAATGTCATTTCATCCCCCAATTGTGACTCTTCCCAGAGTAGCATTGGGCATGAAGATGATGGCTGGACTACAGTTGGCATTGTCATCATTGTTGTGGTCTGCTGTGTTGTGGGCACCTCTTTGATCTGGGTCATTGTTATTTACCACATGAGAAGGAAAAATGAAGACTATAGTATCACAAACACAGGTGAGTTAACAACTATTGCTTATACTTGAGTTAGGAATGTAATAAAGGATTTGTTGTAAAATATAGAAAACTAAGCAGCTTTGATACTTCATGGGTGGTAGAAGGAAGAGGTTTTCTGTTAAAAGTCCTACTTCCTTGATGCAGCAGAGCCTCTCTAATGAATAACTTCAAGAATTTGTAGACATTTTACCCAAACTTTGCACTTAGAAGCAATCACAGGTGCAGCTTCTTTCTTTAATGCCCAAGGCTCATTTCCATTGTAATTTCCCTGTGAGGAAGCATAGAGTCCTTACAATGGAGATCAGCCTTCACACTTCTCGTCCTGAAATCATGTGAGAGAAGAGGCTCAGCCTGATAGATGGTGAAAGTAAGTCTGTGGATAAAATTTCAGACTTTAGGTTTTATTTCTTTTTGCTAACACTTTTAAAATGAAACTTAGAGGAGAATTCTAGTGAGAAACAGTTTTCAGGGAAAATCCTAGAAGCTGTTGAGTTCCTAGGGACATAACATTTTCCTGGCCAATAGTACCAAAGTAGAATACATTTGCAAAATAGTCTTCCAAATGTTGGCTTAAATTGCCTGACTTTGAAAGTTACAGATGTCTCTTTTACAGAGGAGCTCAATCTGCCTGCAGATATTCCCAGCTACTTGTCTTCCCAAGGAACACTGTCTGAGCCACAGGAAGGCTACAGCAACTCTGAGGCAGGCAGTCATCAGCAACTTATGCCTCCTGCCAACGGATATTTACACAGAGGCGCTGATGGTAATGACTCTTTGTTGTCTATGCTTAGAATTTCAACTAGCCCTATTGAGTTTATTTTTCAATGTATAGATTTCCCCATTAACCTGAAGCAATATTTTAAAGTAAGATACTCAGTGAAAACATCTGGCCTCATGCAAAACAGGATGAAAATTGATTAAAGTCTTAATAGGGAAGAAAATCATCTGACAGTAGAAACACATCTTAAAACACAGGATTGGGGAACACAGTAGAGGCTCCCAAAACCAAAGCATTGTTATGGGAAGGAGGTGCTCTGGAAGCTTATTTCAGGTGTCTTTTACCCTATTCCTTCATGATCACCCTTCAGACCATGTCCAGGGGAGGTTGTTTCTCCTGCTGACAGGTGGATATTCACTACAGTTTCAAGGGCATTGATGATTCTCACCATGTATTGGAGAGCATCAGAGAGAGAAAGTCATCACGTGAACCTGACTTCTCAACACTGCTTTCCCCTCCACTCCTCCCTTCCCACAGAGGGTGACGGAACACAGGGAGATGAATTAAGGGATGGAATTGAGTTTGCTTCCCAGTTCTTTCTAGCCATGTGATCATGAAGTCACTTAAAGTCTGAGCTTTAATTTCTTCATTTAAAAAACTCAAGTGTTTTATAAAGCATTTCTCTCAAGAGTCTCACAGATCCTTTCAACAGATCTGTCTGGTACTTCATGTGCTTTACAAATGAAAGGTCTACTTCATTGCTACAGAGATTTTTTTTTAGTCTGGGTGTTAACAGATCTTCTCTGTATAACTGATAAATTGGATTTTATTTTGGCTTTCCAAGGAAAGTGGGGTATTACTAACTTTTAAAGAATACTTAAAAGCCTCTACTCTTTGAAATTTGAAGGAAGTAACGCTGCTTTCTGGGTTAAACTGAATTACTTCCATTTCTTTTCCAGCTCTAACACTCTGTTGCTTGATCATGAATAAATAACGTGCTCTTTATTTTTCACTTTCCTCTCTTTCATCACTCAGTTTTCAGAGTACGTAATGGTCCACGGAGCCCATTATTAAACTTTTACTTCTGCCAAACACACATTTGTCAGGCAGGATCTTGACCATCAGAGGCTTTCTCTAGGGGTGCTTTTAGCAATTAGTGTTGCTTAACTTCTTGACTCAGGAAAGTAACATGGGCTTTTGTGAAGCAAAGTCAACATAACTCCTTATTCTTTGCTTTAGTTTACTTAAGCCAAACATGTGTCTGGTAGCACAGTGCCAGCCTTACCTTGGCTCCCTTGATTTGAGTATGACCTTATCCAGGCTGGACAAAGATGGTTTAATGTAGTATTCAGTGTTCAGGAGCTTCAGTGCTGGTGCCAGAGGGCCTGAGTTTAAATTTCAGCTCTCCATTCTGGCAGTATGTCTTGGGCAAGTTACCTAACCTCTCTGTGTTGTAGTTATTCCATCTGTAAAGTGAGGATAATAATAGTACTTACCTCTTAGGGAATGTTGTGATGATTAAATTAGTTAATTCATAGAAAGACCTTGAAACTTCATCTGGTTTATAATGTAAGTTTTGAACAAATGCCAGCTACGATGACAGTGATGACTGCTATTAGAGAAAACTAACTATTGGCAAAGCTGATTCCTCAGCTGAAGATGTTGGGTTCTTTCCCATTTTTGTCATTAGGTGGCACTGGTACCCGGGTTATCTGCTCAGATTGTTACGACAATGCCAACATCTACTCCCGGACCCGAGAATACTGTCCGTACACCTACATTGCTGAAGAGGATGTTCTAGATCAGACACTGTCCAGCCTCATGGTCCAGATGCCCAAAGAGACTTACTTGGCACATCCTCCCCCAGATGCCACTACCCTGGAGAGCCTGCTATCATCAGCAGGTGGAGAGATGTCTGCCTTTCCCACCAACCATGAGAGGATAAATGAGAAGAAACTTTCTTCCACACAGAAGAGCAGTGGTAAAGGGCACAGTGTTTTTTGTTTATTTTGGTTTGTTTTCACGTTCACCTACTTGATTTTTCCTTCTATCATAGAGGTAGTGTTCTCATTTGACAGGAAGAAGACAACTTGGTATAATGGAGTAATTAGCTGCTGTTAACTAGTATAAACTAGAGCCAGAGATTTTTAGAGATTAGAGTTAGAGAAGTCTGCATCCGTAGCATGAAAACTGCTTTTGTGTGAGTAACAAGGTCACACTTCTAAAAATTCGGAAGCCATACAGAAAAAGTTCCTATAAAAAAGTTTCATATAGGTGTTAATTTTTTCTTCCATCTTTATTAAAATAATGGAGATCTGAAATGTTTTGGTTATAATTTGGACATAATTTGTTGAAGGTTTTCACTGAGAAGATTTTAAAATGTTTTATTTGGTTGCTGTCCTTTCAGGTAGATATTGATTGTCAGTAAAATTGGCTGTTGTATGCTTTCATCTGTGAGGTATTATGATCAGGGCCATTGGTGGGAAAGCAATTTCGGGACGGTGGCTCAGGAAAAGAAACACAGGTTATATTGTGCAGATGAGACATTTGATAACAATGCAGTCAGTAAAGCAAAGTAAAATGAAACAAAACTCTTTCTAGACCATGAGGGGCACTACTGAGCATGTCTTCTGTCCACCTAGTCTTTTCATCAGCTGTCACCCTCCTGTCAGCCTGAAATGGAAGAACACTGGAAATAGGGTGGGTTTACAGAGGAAGACAGTGTGTAGTCATGCTTCCAGGGATGGTTCTGGCTGGAGTCAGCGACCTGTTGTGGAGTTTTAAGATGTGTTTTGTTGTTCTTAGTTAAGAGACCAACTCTAAAGACTTCTGGAGAGGGGATAGGTCGGAGAAAAATAACCTGTTATTGAAGCTAGTCTCTTGTCTTTAAAATTATGTGTGCATGAAAGAAATGCACCAACACTAGATCCATTTCCCCTGTCCTAGAAGAAATATACACACACAAAAAACAGTAGAACTAAAACTGCAGTGCAACTTTCCCCAGCTTTGGGGATACCGTAGTTGTTAATCTGGTCTGTAAGTGAGGGAATCAACAAATGAGAGTGCTTTGATGCGCTGCTCGTTCCTCACCTAGGGTGCTCCAGCTCCTTGCTCCCCAGAGTGTGGTCTGTCAGCAGCAGCATTACCTAGGGGCCTGTGAGAAATGCGGAACACAGGTCTCGCAGCAGACCTAGTGAACCAGAGTCTGTATTTTAACACGATCCCTAGGTTATTTGTATGCATATTAGAGCTTGAGAAACCCTGCACTAGCTTACCTTGCACATGGGTTTTATTTTTATTTCTGAGTGTTTTCAGAATATTTCACTAGCTTTTTCCAAAATGCCCCCATAAAGTTAATATAACTTTCAGTAAATGTCCTCTGGGGAAAGAACTCACCACTGCTGTAAATAAGGAGGATGAGAAATGCATATTTTTGAAGCCAGAGTGTAGATAACCTGATTTAAAATACCAGCTTTTGGTTATTATTTTGTTATTAGAATTATTGGCATGCTAGAAGCTAGAGGGGAATGGTCATTTATTTTTTAAATGATTTCTTTTTAAAAATAAGAATTTAATTATTATTTGAAGATGTAATGACTGCACTGAATTAGTGATTTTTTTGTCTGTGTATTGTGCAGCTTTATGATATGGATAGTAATTCTCATTTAGTCTGTTTCCATATGTCTGAAGAGTTTTGTTTTTGATAAATAATAGGTGAGAGTAGATGACACAGCATGGTCTCAGTAAATAATTGGTAAAGTTGTTGAGTAGAAAAGTTTGAAAGACCATGGTTCCAGTTTTTGTTTTGTTTTCTTTTCTTTTCTTAGCTGTTGCCAGAGCTGGCAAGTATACATTTGATCTCAGTGTCCTTAATCAGGGATATTGGGCATCTTTATTTCTTTGAGAACTTGAGTAGGAGAAAATTAAGTTTTATTTGACACAACATTGTAAAATGATTATAAATCAATAAAAAATGTTAAAAAAAAAGAAAAGTAAGTTTTAGAAAATTAATTCTGAACTTCCACTCACCACTGATAATTATTTTCTTTCATCCTCAGAAACCTTGCAGCGGCCTCTGTGGAACGTAAGCAAAGAACTAGGTCTGCCTCACCCTCCCTTTTCCCAGCAGGCAGTCCTTGAGTCACCACAACTCCATCAAAACGAGGGCCTGGCGGAGAATGATCCAGACTGTTCCCCATCCCCCGTGCCCTGTCACAGGTTACACGACCATGCTTTTGATTTTAGTAGGACTCGGAACATTCAAGATGGTAGTGAGGGCACATGAAACTCACTCCGGGATGAAATCTGGGCAAAGACTCAAATTAGTTAATTTTGTATTTACTACCTCAGAGTTCAGAAGAAGCCCCAAAGTCAGCGTTTGCTTTACTCTTGGTCTGCAGCTACACCTGACCACACCAGGTGGGCCAGGCATTTGTTCGGGCTTACCCTGGACAAAGAACGGTAACGACTGGCAGACATGGGTACCTCTAATAAAACATGTGCAGCACGGGCAGAGGAAGGTAGAGGGCAGAAGTGTCCCTGATGGTTCTGCCAGGACGTGCCCAGGCGCGCATCGCCTAGTAGGAGGAGTCTCAGTGCTGCTTAACATCCTGGGTTGTCTCAACCTGCAGAATGATCCTGAGGAAACATTGCTGTCCTGTTTTGCCTTCCAAGGAACAAAAATGACTTTGGAGCCCTCTGCGTAATGTGCCTGGGACTCTGCAGTGGTTTTAAGCATATAGTTGAGCGTGGGGCTTTGATATTCAAGGTCTTTGACAAGAATCTCAGACTTGACCAAACTGTTAACCAGGTCAAAGGTTTTGTATTCTTGTGAGTCTCTCTCTCTCTCTCTACTTCTCTCTCCCCTTTTTTTTTTTTTTTTTGTCCCTATTGCCCAGGGATCTCATTGTAAATAATATGTGCATTTATAAATAATTTTTGTATCATTGAGCATATGTGTTGGTTGCAATGTAAATATTTTTGATATGCCAAAATTACATGTAACGTCCAGTTATAATTGACAGCAGCTTCTCAGACCACGGATTTTGTACAACTTGGTTTAGTGAGTCTAAAGTCTTTAAAGGTTTAAATACATATAGAAGTATATGCATAGAGGCAGGGTACCTAGTGGTTGCGTGCACATAGACACAATCATGGTGTAATTAACCACTTCATACCTAAAGATTCATACCTCTAGTCATTTGTCATGTGTTTACAATTGCCAGGTAATCTTTCTAGCATAAAAAGTCTCTTTCAAAAGATTAGCATTCTTGTCATTGCCATATGCACAGAAAGGAAAACTTATTTTGAGAATGTCTTCTTTCAGCAAAATACTTAGTTGACTGAGGAAACCAAAGATTGCTTTTTTCCTGTGTGTGTGTGTATTTTAATAATGTCTCTTCTACCAATGCACAGTATATCTTGAGAAGAGTGCTTTTGGGAGTAGAAGAACATGCAGAAATTCTTATAGCTTAAAGCTTTAGAGTGGTCCTTGTTTTTACGAACGATTAGTTAAGCCAAAAAGTTTTCTTGAATTTCTGGTCGCAAAAAGCTTTATGTAAACGAGACTCAGTGCTTCAGTGGAGTGGAGTGTACTAAAGCTCTTCTTTCTGTTGTCAGATTTCTTTATGTAGGTTCTCAGATTTTGTCCTCTAGATTTAGTGAGGGCTAGTTGCACACTAGATAACTTCAATCGCTTTAATGAGAATACCCATTTCTAAGTCACTGTGCATTCCAAAGATTTTAAGCTCACGTCATTTCTCAGCTCTTTTCATTCTAGTTGTCAATCCTAAGTTTTTCTCCCATAGGCAGCAACACTTTTCTAGCTGTTTTAAACCACCATGCCTTTCTCTTTTTCCTTTTTAAACTTTCAGCCTCTGTTCATTTTCACTTTGATCTTCTTAAATATCACTGTTTTCCTCTCCCTTCTATCTGTGATCCTTCTTGCTTTCTGGGTTGCAGTGTAGTTTGTACTGGACTGACTTAGAATCAAGAAACCTGATTCAGTTCCTAGCTCTGCTGCTTACTAGCTGTGTAATCGAGGGCAAGTCCCTTCACTTCTCAGCCTCACTTTCTCATTTATGAAATTGAGGGCATTTTACTAGATGCTCTAAAGCCCTTTCCAGCTGTAACATTCTGTGAACCTGTGATCCCTCCAGGAATCAGGGAGGATTATCTACTCTAATAAAAAGCTGCTTTCACAAAATGTTTGTTAGAGTAGAACAGGAGTGATGCTGCTTACCTGACTTGAGCCAGGTTTACTTCCTCTGTAGCAGGAGTAATGCTCTAAGAAATACTCATGAGAAGAAGAAATATTTGGCTTCTAAAACAGTATCGGTAAACGTCAAGAATCTTAATTGAGAACCACCCATTGCTGTCCAGCAGAGCAGGTCTGAAGGCTAGTGTAAAGCACACAGGAGTATCAGAGTCAGTGCAGGGATGAGCCACAGCTAATTGGTAACTAGTTTGTGGCTCACCTACCTTTCCAGTGTATTCAAGGTTATCCCTGCAATTACATACTCTTACTCACTTTCTGATGGACTGTCTTCAGTGAAAAAGTGGAGTTAGAGCCAGGCTGCAAGTGTGCATCAGCTGTCACATGTGAGAGGACGGTAAACAGGCTGCGAACCAGTGCTCTAAATGTGAGTGCTGTCTCTGCCTTGGCAGTGGTCTTTCTGCTGCCAGTGCTGCCAGTCTGGTCTCCTCAGTGGCCAGGTTCTCTTTTATGTCAATGTGAACAGTTGAGGTGTCCTCCCAGATACTGCTAGCTTGCCTAAAAAAGTAGTCAGGAGTTTGTTTAAATGTGGATAGCCTACCCCTGGTCTTAAAAAAATAAATAAATAAATTCTAATCTTAGAAGATGGAATTCCTGAAATTTCTCATTATTGCGTATGTTTCTGACCAAGCAGATGCTCGAATATAAACAGGATTAGTGGCTTATCAGTGTTTCTTCCCAGCAGTGTAATGTCTGCCTACCAATTTGATCAGAAATGCTGCAAAAGCAAGGGAAGCTAAAATGCTTGAAGAAATGTTCTCTGTCCCCCACCCAATTACCACTTCATATCCATAGGGATACATAAATTCTCTTAATTTGTTTGTTGCCCTCTTAGACTGATTTTGTAAGTCTACCTGGTAGAAGGAGGAACATTTTCTTTGTACTTCAAGCCTTATTGCCACAGAGTCTACATCTAACCCATTGGCCTCCTGTCACCCTATGGCCTCTAAAGTGCTTTCCCTAGTATGCAGGTTGCTCTGTAGCACAGGAAATCCCAGAAACCGAGCCCAGTGTGCCATTCCCTCTAATGTGCCATCTAAGAAATCTTTAAATGTATATTCTTCTATAAGGTGACTTTCATATTTAAAAACAGCTCCCTTCACATTGCCCATTGGGAGGTTGTAAAAGAAACATTAAGATGTCAAGCAGCTTAGATTCTGTTACCCATTTTCCTAAGAAAAGGGAGAGATGATAAAAGTCTTTAGATATTTAAAGGATTGCCATATGAAACAAGGATTAGATTCATTCTCTTTATTCCAGAGGACAGGGGCCATATCAGTGGGTTAGAAGTTACAGGGAGACGCAGTACACAGTAGCCAATAATTCGATATAAGCTAACACTCTAACAACTAGACTTGTCAGACAATTGGAATAATTAGCCTTTTGTGAGAGAACTATACACAGATGCTAAATAATCATCTGTTACTAGCACTGAAGAAATTTCTGCATTGAGATGGAACCTGGGTAAGATGACTTTCAAGCTTCTTTCAGTTTTATCATTGGAAATCTCTAGAAACAATCTGACAGTCTTAGAACTTGGTCTTTCAGAATCCTTTATATGCAGTAAGTGCAGAGCACTTAAAAAGTTTTTTTTTTTTTTTTAACGTAAGGATTATGTTCTTTGGTTGACAAAAGGAGCCTGTTCTGTGTTAATGGCTGAAAACATGAAACTTTGGGCTTATTCTTCTGAGAAAATCTATAACTAGTTGCTAACTCAAATGGTATTACCATAATAAAAAATTTTAAAGCCTGTAATATCGCTTCCCTTTTACTCTTTAATTTTTTATTCCTGTTTCTGTTTATCAGTGGGATTCCATTTGAAATGGGGTTGGAATTATGAGGTCTTATACCCAGTATTTTACCCAAGTGTGTTGTGGCCTTTTCTTATCATTTTAATATCTACAGAAATGCCAAAAGGGTAATGGAGCAACAGAGGTAAATTTGCTGTCATTTTATGCTACATCCTCCATTTCTTATTTTGCTTCTTGATGCAGATTGCAGAGGTAATTGTGAAACAGTTGGACCTTAGAAAGTTGAGCTAAGATTTTTTGGCAACCTGTAAATAATGTTTCATTTTTCTGTTACATGGCCTCTTTCCCAGTTCATTATGGCAGATGTTTTTCCCTCTTGCTTCTTCTAACTTAAAAATTTTCATTTTGAGTACAATCTAAGCCAACATCAGCCTTAATTTTCTTTTTTTCTTTGTTCTTTCTGTTCTCTTTTGAGCAACTATCTGGTTTGTTGACAAAAATAACATGTTCTGAATTAAGAGATATATTACTAGCGTCTCTTAGTAAAATGGCACCCGAAAGCCCACAGATCACCTGGAGGTTTTGTGGATAGTAAGGTGTGCTGGTGTGTGTGTGTGTGTGCGCGCGTGTGTGCACGCATCTGTGAAAAGTAATATTTGGACCTGCGCCCTCAAGGTTGTGTTGAGTGTTTCTTAGCAGTCATGATAATCTCCACCGACGGGTGGAGTGAAGGTGAAAAAACAGCTTGATTTGAGCCTGTTTTCAAATGTAAGGAGTAAAGTGATCTTCTGTCAACTGTAACGGTCTTGAAAGAGAAATTGATCATCAGGTGGTCAAGTGCTCTTGGAATATCTCTTGGCTACTTAAAGTGGCCTCTTGATCCATAGAGAGACTACTTCTACCCTCTCCTTTGCCCTTGTTCTCCCTTTTTACCCCTGTCAGAGGGTGTTTTTCTGAGCAGCCCTGGTACTGGATGTACCTAAAGAGAGTTATAAGCCAAGTTGTTCATTGTGGCCCTTTCCTAGTATGTATTTATATTTTCTCACACATGAGAATGTTTATTTTATAAAGCATGTGTTTGTCTACTTGTTTGTCTACTGTAATATGTCTTCAATAAAGCTAAAATACATTATGATTGTCTGGTCTTCTCTTGCCTCAAGGACAGGAGTAAAATGGTGCCATTTTTAAGTTTGCGGTCCTTTTGAGAGGTTTCTCCGAATAGCTGTACAAGTTAAAATGGAGATGAGTTCTCCTTCTTTAGTTCTCACCGTGTTTCAGAGTCGCACACTGCCTCACCTGCCACTGGCGCCTCCTGCAGCTGTGAGCCACTCCAGGGTGGGCACTGCGGGCTGTCCCCTTCCCACCTCGTGCTGG